AATTGCCTATTAATAATGTAATAAATAGTTCTTTAAAAAAGATTAAATGTGAAATTATCAACAAAAAGATAATAGAAAGATTGAAATTTGAATGAGCTTAAACAGATGGTAGGAGTAATGGGTCACATGCACTATTATGTATTTTTATTAAATAATTCTGAATAATGAAAATTTTGTATTTGTGGAGGGAGTGCGTTTCTTTTAAGTCATCTCTTTTCTAAATTGATTATTATAATATATACTATAGATAGTATAGATGTACGGAACTTTATGATTTAAATTTGAATTGTCGTTATATTATGTAATTTAACACACGATTTATCCTTGGTGGGTTGGAAAAAATATTGGAAGTAACCGTGACACCAAGTCATCATTATCACCATTTAATTAAAGTATAACAAATAAACAAGTGGATTCTACCTATTCTAGTAACCACTTTGTGTTGTAATTTTTAATTCATGAATTATATGAATATGAGAAGATTATGATATGATCCAAATGTGATAAAACGCATAATTAACACAAATTTATAATGATACGACTTGAAATTAAAATTTCAAGCGTCGAATGTTTCAATTTCAAATGGTGGTGGGGGATGAATTATGACTGCATACCTACCCAAAAAGCAGAATTGGAGACGAAAAAGGAGACATACTCTTTGGTCCAAACTTAATAATATTTGTGGGGGCATGATTAGATATAGAGTAGTCCACTGTCCGATGATTGTTAATCCATGAAGCAATCTTGTGTGCCTTGCACATAGGTTTCCTGGTTTTGCCATACACTGAATCCAGCCTACCAAGTAGGTCTATTAATTCTGGTTGTAAGCTGCGAATTCAATAGAAAACCGATGTAAAATTAATAAATTTAAATTTAATTCTAAAAAATTCAAGTAGTGAATTCATGAACCCATCATATATACCGATTGATACAAACTTAGCCAAATTCAACAATAATTCTCTAAATATGCCTTATATACAACAGATATTTAACTCAACACAAACCCAACTATACACATGATTATAAACTGATTAGGTATGATAGAGCAAGTTTACTATAACACAACCCATTTACAGCCCTACTACCGATTACCAACTACGGGTTTTAATGCTTCCTGTGTCGATACCAAACCTCAAGCCTGAACACCCTTGGGGAAAAAAACCCCCCTTTATTTTGTCGCTGCATTTTTGAATCATCACCTTAATCCTGCTGCAAAAGGTGCCACTCCCACTCTAAAAACCTCAAAGTTATAAATAGAGCAATAGATGGGAAAGCAAAACCAAAAAGGTTCACCTAGAGTTTTCAAATAGATAATATGACTCAAAGTAAAAAGAAAATTTGGTAGAAATAAACTGGTTCAAAAATTACATGTTCTCTCAAGGATCTTGGGTCCGAAATTTCTGTTTTCTTCCAACTTCCATTTGAAAACTAGAACTTGTATGTCTTCCAATACCTTAGGGCAGGCCTGCCCTGGGGTCGTTGGATTCATTCAATTTGATTTCATCCNCAAAACCGATGTAAAATTAATAAATTTAAATTTAATTCTAAAAAATTCAAGTAGTGAATTCATGAACCCATCATATATACCGATTGATACAAACTTAGCCAAATTCAACAATAATTCTCTAAATATGCCTTATATACAACAGATATTTAACTCAACACAAACCCAACTATACACATGATTATAAACTGATTAGGTATGATAGGGCAATTTTACTATAACACAACCCATTTACAGCCCTACTACCGATTACCAACTACGGGTTTTAATGCTTCCTGTGTCGATACCAAACCTCAAGCCTGAACACCCTTGGGGAAAAAAACCCCCCTTTATTTTGTCGCTGCATTTTTGAATCATCACCTTAATCCTGCTGCAAAAGGTGCCACTCCCACTCTAAAAACCTCAAAGTTATAAATAGAGCAATAGATAGGAAAGCAAAACCAAAAAGGTTCACCTAGAGTTTTCAAATAGATGATATGACTCAAAGTAAAAAGAAAATTTGGTAGAAATAAACTGGTTCAAAAATTACATNGAAAACCGATGTAAAATTAATAAATTTAAATTTAATTCTAAAAAATTCAAGTAGTGAATTCGTGAACCCATCATATATACCGATTGATACAAACTTAGCCAAATTCAACAATAATTCTCTAAATATGCCTTATATACAACAGATATTTAACTCAACACAAACCCAACTATACACATGATTATAAACTGANGAAAAAAATTTACACTAATAAAATAATAGATAAATTACACCGACACCCCTGCAGTTTTTGTTAAATTACAGAAACAATGCCAAAAAATACACAGAACTACTGCATCAGCACAAATGGTTGAACAACCCCTTAATGGAATCTGCATAATGACCTCGCATACATTCAATGTGTTACCACATTCAAGTTGAGGTGACTCGGGCAGAGATCCAAATGGCTGTACATGTTTTGTATATGAGTCCATCTCTTAAACTCAGTTCAGGGCCATTGTTGAAGTCCACATTAAACCATTTACTCTTTAACACCTCGATTAAAATCCAGCTTCGTGAAGCAATGTAGGAACCCACAAATTCTAGACAGAAAGAAAAAAAAGGCGGAAAAATCAATATCAACCACAAACCAATAATTATGCAGATGACCTTTGACTCAAATTTACACATTCAATTGAACTCTTACTATGTGTGGTGTTGTACAATTGGGGATAGAAATGGTGGTGGCATTGTTAAACGGATCCTATGATGTCTCCTTTTATTCTATATCCAACCCACAGCAAGGGAAGACCTAGTAGCTCTTTTGGTGGTGAGGCAGCTAAGGGCCAATCTGTATTTTGTCATAATTCTTGACCATTTCTTATGAATTTTTTTTTGATAAAATCTACACAACTAATAAAGGGGGAGGAGGGGTTTGATATTCACTCCTAAAATGTCCATAATACTCTTTATTTCTCCTCAAATAACTACTTAGAACTCCCTCTTAACTCCACTCAACTGCCTACACTCACAAAATACCAATATTACCTTTCATATCTTCCAAATAACTACTCGTCTCTCTTTTTAACTGCCTAATTCTCCCTTCACAAGGGCAATCGTGTGCAGAACATCTACTCAGTAATAATATCAGAGATCCTATACCATTAATTATTGTGATAAATCTCAATATATTCTAAATGGCCACATTCACAATTATGGAGATCACATTCAAATGTTTGTTTGAACATGACCGTTACCATAGTACATCACATGAAATAGGCATGCTCGAACCTAAAACCATGACACAATGGACTTGCCAGCGCATGTGACTAATCACCATTCCCACCACCAGCGTGCATACTCATGTGCACACACGCACACAC